GAGGGAGAGGCCACAGAAACCCGGCTTTTGACGCGAGACAGCGCCAGGATCCGTCCCTGCCCCGGCTGCTGCGCTCTGCAAACGGCCCGGGACCGGTCATGGAGCCTGGAAAGCACCTGCGTGGAGGCGCGGGGTGCGTGGAGATGCGGGGCGCACAGGAGCCCTCATGTAGCTCCCCCACAACAGCAGCTACGCACTCCAAGGGAAAACAGAAGCAGACGGCCTAGATGTCAAAAACAATACGTTGCTGCAACATAACTTAGCGCTGGTGATCGTGAGGGAAGACATCTCCAGCTCCCCTGCTTTGCAGCACCAGCAGGAAAGCAGCAAGGACAACCCTGCAGCAAGAGATGACACAGAGCTCTGCTCGTAACGCTGCACAATTCAGCTCTTACTTTCTGAGAATGCTCAGAGCTCCCGTGGCACATTCCACAGGTGCTGAAGTAAATTAACTATTGTAATTCTATTCTTCATTCCACTTATTTTAGCTTAGTATCATGAGCAGCTGCAAGGCTTCTCATCCCACTTCCTTTTTATGCACATCTGAGTGTACTTGTCAACACTGAGAGAAGCTTCAGCTTTCTACAGCATAGGTCCTGGTTATGGCAAAAAGACAACAGAAGGCAGATTTTCACATCTGTAAATACTTATTTTATAGAATAATTTGTGTATGAGACATTAGGTTAATTGCAAAACTCCACCTCAATATAGCCATAAAGCCTATTGTATTGTCAGTACTCAGTAGAAGTCTTAAAAGCTTGACCAGATTGAACAGCTCTGTACTGCTATACCAAAGAACACAGCCCTTTTTCAGCTTAAATAAACACCCTGTAAGCACTAGCTATGCCAAATGGGCAGCACAGTTTAATAGAGCACAATACTTCTGCAATTCAACTTTGCTGCCATCAGTAGGAAGCAATGTTGGTTTGAACTGCAGTTTGCAGCAATGATTATCAGTTCTGCACTGCCTGCAGTATCTGACCAGACACTGCTCTCAGTGGAAGAGAAGCTTCAAAAGAAGAGTTCAAAATCTGCATCTGGGATAACTTAGAAAGCTCATGAATGTTTACAGTTTTCTACTGTAGGAGGTTGAAAACAAGAACCTAGTAAGTACTTTAAAAAGCAGTGGTATTTATATGGATACCAGGAATCTCCACAGCTATTAATGGCAAATAAAACCACAGGACACCTCAGTTCTAGTAAGCAGAAGACCTAAGAGAGGTAGCACATCCCACAGCCAACTCTTCCACAAGTCCTACACTGTCCCCTGTGTTGTTGTCAGTGTTAGCTGTCAGCATTACACATGTACCTGTTACTTTCACATCAAAGTGCTACCAGCACCGTGTTTTGTAAGAGCAGTGCAGTGATTTGATCATTCTCGTGGTCAGAGTATGGTGTTTGTGCAGCCTTATTAAGGACTAAGGAAGAAATTTAAATTGGCTGCAGGATTGTATCAAGTAGGAGTCATTTTATTTACTCCTCAGTGTAATGAACTAAAACTATAGGGAGGGCAGAATGTACCCAGTTAAATGCTAAAAGGTTCATGTTAACCAGGACAAAAATACTGAGTGCAGGAAATAGTATCTTGTAGGAGACTGACACCTCTGCTCAGCTTCATATTTGAAATACGCGGGGGTCGTACCTATATTATCCCACTTTTCAAGTGACAGGAAGTTAAGCAACTAGCTGAAGCCCTCAATATAGCTACACACAGCAGTTTAGAAACCTGCTAGATCGACGTTTTAGTTGTACAGTCTGAAACTATGATTAACAGTATCATTCTGTTGTTCTTCCCTTAGATTTGCCCCAGACTTTAAGGCTAGTAGCCAGCAAGTATTTTCTGAAAAGTCTCTGAGAATGAAGAGTGGTTTAGCAAAGTAACCTAATGCAGCTCTTCACCATGTCAGGTACGGAGTGTACGTAGTCAAGTTCAAGCTAACAGAAAAGTAAAAACGTGGAGCTCCCTTTCTTCCATTTAAGAAAAAACTTAGTTTATTTCAAAAGCAGCAGCAGCAAACTTCTGCTTTTGTGTAGATGTGCAGTCTCCTTTTATTGATTACATGAACTATTTACTTAAACATTAAAATGTAGAGTAAAAGTACACACAGACCTAGACCTCAAAAAGATTAATTTCAGCTGAAATAGGGGAACCACAGCCATACAATTAGAAGTCCTCAAATCAGACTTCCTTGGGGCATTACAGCTATCTACCATTCCTCTTCCCTGACAGACAGCAAAGGCTACAGCAGGACTTCAACCACTGAGCATGCTCTGGCTCACATAACCTGCTGTGGGCAAAGCAGAAGTGATTACCATGTAGCCTTTTATTGTTTTGTTTTGTTTTCCCACCCCCTCAGTATCAAATATCAAGGGAATAGTTTAAGCCACCTTTGGACCTGAAAGACCACCATCATAATCAACAGCCACTACCATTCACCTGGTAAGACAGCCAGGTCTGACATCACCTCCACGGGAGGTACATTCATGGACTACTGGGGAGAACGCGCCCTGCAAGCAGCTCCTACGAGGTCCTGAGCCCGCTCACACAGGACTTCTCCACGGCAAAGGCTTTTGGCCCCAGCAATTCTAGGATTCCTGGTGTTTACAAACAGACCCTGCACTGGCCGCAGGCAGGGACAATTTAATATACCAGGCCACAGAAGCTCTAAAAAATTCTGTTCCCAAGAAAGACGAGTGAAAATTCTTCTCCCACATCTCTCGTCACCATGGGGACTACAATCTCTTTCAACACTCTAGCTTTAAGACAGCTGCCTATAAAAGCCTGTAACAGACCTAACAATGCTGTCATTCTGAGTATGCGTGCTCAGATTCACATGAGAGACACAGGGACCAAAGAACAAGAAGTAAAAGAGTTTCTCTCTAGAATGTCCCAGGCAGCAGGTGAACAAACCAGAACTTCTTGCCATAATTATCCGATCAAAGTCTTGCTTTTGTAAATACAGTCTGTCTCTCTGCGTTGTGGGTATTTGTCCTCCTCCCAGAAGAGGAGGAAAAAAAAAAAAAAAAATGCAGTTCTCCAGACTAGGAACATATTAGCATTGAATGTGCAGCTGAAACAGAGCTGAGTCTTTGGCAGACTGATAAGAGCTAGCATGAGAAAACCACCCCATCAGGGGATTTGATCATTTTGCAGTTGATAAACATAAACAGAGCAGGAAGATCTTACTTTGGAAGATGACACTCACCGAGTTGGATCTTGCTGCAGGCCAAACACTCCTCCTACACTCACCACATTGTGTTTGTTCTCAGGGTCCCCATAACTCAGAGTTACCTGGAAAGACAAATAATTATTCAAAAATTGTCACACAAGCAGAATAACTGAGGAGGGAGAGGCAGGATTATTACTGAGAAGAAAGACTCCTGTCTCATCTGAGTGATAGCTTTCCAGTGAAAGATAGTTAGCTTTTCCTGACATAAGTAATATTGGCATTGAATGGTAGCTGTCAAGTAAACCACTGTTCATTCAAAGGATATCTGAGAGAATAAAGAGCTGAAAGTTCCATTACCCTGAAACATAAGGTCAGTTACATTTGTAAGCTTCACAGCAGCACCAGTCCTACAAGTATCTGTACTTCAGCTGAAGAAAAGCTAATTCTCACCAGATGTTGTCTGAAGTCTGCAAGTAGTAGTGTATTAGCATAGAGGGAAAACAGAAACACTTGGACGTTAAATGTCATGCCAATGACTACCATATGCCAAACCTGTCTACAAAATTTAAAAGTCTGGAATTTCGATTTAGTGCTATTCTTCCCCAAAAGGCACTGTATTGAGAAGTACAAGGTATTTGCAGGTACATGTATAAGACTGTTTTCGGCTGGATTATAATCTCCTGGATTTTGGATTAGTTATTACAGTTTTAGAGAGGAGAAAAAAAAAAAAAGCTATCAACAAAAGGCCATATTTGACCTACGACAACTTCACTAACATAAGAGAGGGTATTCATGCAGGAACTTGGCTCCAGAGGTACTTTTTTGCTGGGTAATAAAATCACCAGGAAATCATAAGCACATAGGAACAACATCAATCATTTTGTTCATGATGCCAACAAATATCCATCAGACAAAACTTCTGGATAGCCTTACAGCTCCATCTACTGTCCCTTAACGAAAGTGTCACAGTGATAAAAAAGCAATAGGAAAAATAAAAAATAATAAGAAGCTCTGAGCAACTATGCAGACATCCTTCTCTGCTGAAAGTTTTGTCTATAGAAAGCATTCTTTCTGACGGGACTGAGGTAAGGACAGGATATGAAGCTTAATCCTACCTGCTGCAGCACAGATTCGCCTTGTAGCTTCTGCAGATTTTCCAGATGTGAGTGAAACAACGGGCTGTGCCGCAGCTTCACCTCCAGCAGCCCTTCAATGATGTAGCCAATAGTGCAGTCATCGGGAAGACGCACTCTTTCTGCGGTACTGATGAAATTACCTAGGCTGTAAGGTGGAATGTAGGAAACATGATCAAATAAAGTTTCAATTGTGGCAGATGTATCAGTGAAGCTCAGCTATGAGCAGTGTTTACCTAGCCCAGGGACTCATCTTCAGGGCAAGACCTCTGCTGATACAGAATCCCGCTCCACCCGTGGCAAACCAGAATTTCACAGTCGTCTTCCAAAGAGCAGCAAGAAAAAACAAACATGTACAAGTTACTGATAATCAGTTTTTCACCTTTTGGCTGGATAGGGAGGGAAACTTGAGCAAGATAGCAGCTATTGCACTTCAGTCAGAACAAAACTACATATTAACCTTATTGTTTTACGCTGGTAGAAACCCAGCAGGTTGTTTTCTCAAAGGAAACTCCATCTGGAATTGGTTCCAAGTGACCACCAAGTTAACACAACTGATGCAGCTGACACAAAAATAGGAAACTCTACTGCCACTTGTACCCAACTGCAGCTCTCCCCTGATTATTCCGGCCAAGGGTTACAGCGAGCTCAGTCTTCCTTAGAAAACCAAAGGCACTCTGTTAGCTGCTTGGCTCCAAGTTCAAGGAGACTATTTTGTTACACAGAGCTTTCTCTAACAGGCTGCTTTATAACTGCCTTTCTGGACTGTGGATTTATCTTTAGGGCTGTCAATATAAGAAACATGGTAAGAACTTGTCCTTCAGCCTCTGACCGAGATGTGCTTGCCTCCATTTCTGGAAACTCAGTCAGTGACCACTCAGGATTGGAAATGCCTTAAAATGACCAGCATGTGTCTGCCACCCATCTGAGATTGGTATCACCATGAACCAATATGATACTACTCTCTTAAAGAGAGAGAAAAAAAATAAAATCACTTCAAACACTTACACCACGGATTCCTAAAGAAAAAGATTCAAAGCAAGGTAGAAACGTCCACCCAGGAGACATTGTACAGGAGCACATGTGAGATCTGAGCAAGTGTCCATTTAACCCTGTACACTGTCTCTGACAGCAACCAGTTTCAGATTCATTGCTTTCAGATTAAGTCAGCTGTTTTTGTAGGGGCTCTGATGAACTGTCAAGGTTTTTCAAGCTTGAAAAGTCAGCACGTCTCAGCTTATTACAAAACTTGCTTACTGATCCGTCACTTTGACCGTGGTCAGCTGCTTCAATGGGGTGGTCCAGACTTGGTCGCCCCACATAAACATCCTGGCTGTGTGAGAAGGCAGATAAGAGATGCAGGAGAGTCCGTGGATTCACATAGTTATCATCGTCCACGTGGCAAAACCACCTTCAAATGAACAAACAAAGTTACTACGGAGCAGCGTCAAAGAACTGAGACTTAGAGCCAAGTCTTAGTCTTTTGGGCTTGGAACAGAAAACCGAGTTAGGAAACTGAAACCACCATAGATTCTAATTGTGGAAAGATGCTAAAACGAAGAATCCCACCCAGGTTATCATTCTTGTAGTCTTTTAGATTATATTTGTTTATAAACACTGCTTTCTGCTCCCTTCCCAACACTCATCACTAAGCTTTAGCTGATGCTACTTTCCTTACTGGAGCAGAGGAGGATCCTGAAGTTTCCTGTAAAGGTAGAACTGTAAGAAACAGAACAAGGAGAATAACGATTTACCTACTTTTGCCCAGATTCTAGGAATTTATCATATTCCACAGACATCTTGCAGCAGAGAGCTTGGCGGGTGTGGACAGCAGAGCAGTTGGTGTTGATCATATGGTCCCCTAGGAAATAGATATCAGTCTGTCAAGTCTAGGACTCATATACAGTCCAAAAATAATAATAAAAAAGAACAAGAAGGGCACATCTGGCACTAGAAATCTACATGTGAACTGCATACATCACATACATGCAGCATACATGTAGAGTCAGGCCAGCTAATGGGCTGTACACATGGCAGGCAACTGCTTAGTGCATGAGAGTGTTTAGCATGCAGGGCACATAATTACTGAGGCAGCATGCAAAGAAAATGCCCAATATAATCTTCAACCAGATAGACTGATGCTTACTAACAGGAAGGAAATAGGTGCCAAGGTGAAGAACATTCCGCACCTTCCAGGGATCCTGTCCAGGTGGTAAAAGCTATATTTTCTCCTGTGAAACTTTCCCCTTAACTTCCCCAATTGCTTGCACAGCATGAAATAAGGCCTTCTACGAAACAGCATGCACCTAAGCAACACAGCTCACCTGCTTTTAGGCGCAGTTCCTGATCCTCCCAGTCAGTGAATATAAATGTCTGTGGAAGAGAAAACACAAGTGTGCGGGGCAGTGTTTTCCTTTCGGAGGATTTCAAAGACTATTAAAAACTTCACTCAGTTGCAAGTCATAATTATGAGTATTTTATCTTTTTTTTTTTCCCTCTCTGGACAGGAGGAGGGAAGAGAGGGGAGAGGAGGAAGAAAAAAAAAAAAAAAAAAAAAAAAAACCACCTTTAGCTTTTGCCTTACTTGACAAGATTCTGCCTGGCAAACCAGAACAAGCCACCTCAACAAAACATCCAAGATTTTGCTCCCTGTATCTCAGGGTACAGATAATGATTTTTCCATCACAAAAGACAATGGTCTTGGTGGGAGAGAGAGAGGGAGGGAGATTGGAGATTGCCATCTCTCTCTTCTCCCCCCACCCCTTCCCCCTCTCTCTTCCCCCATCTCTCTCTTTCCCCCCTCTTTCTCTCCCTCTCCCTCCTTGTCATTTTTCACTGGCCAGCAGCCATCCAACAACTATTAAGCAAGTTAAAAGAAATGGGAGTCAGGGCAGAGAGCGTTAGGTGGTAGCAGCATCCTGCCCCAATTTAAGCATTAATACGCTTAAGTGTAATGAAAAAGCCTAAAGAGGGGAACCAATTCTGTTTTTTTTTTCCCCCCTCCTACAGAAGTCTCCATCACAGAGCTATTCTGTCCCAACCACCAGCCCAGGG